CACAAGTTAAATTACTATTGATGCTGTAAGTGAAGATACAATATAATTTGATTATCTAAATTTTACTCACCAGTATTAGTTTTTATTCTAATTAGAATCCTTTCAAATTTATTTAGATTTATACTCACCTGATAATAAGTAAAATTTTGTGTCATTTTTTCACAATGTTTAGAGTTTACAATAAAATTAGATTTGCTGATTTCTTTGAGAATCATTTTTATTCACAAAATTGTATCTAAAAGTTTAATTACTAAGATTTATTAAATGTGAACTTAATTTTTTTATGTTAGTCTATTATTAGTTTTATTTTTTCCTTAATTAATTGAGATTTTTTAATAATTTTCAAGTAATATCAAGATTTTTAGAGAAAAATTTTTTTTTTTGAATTCCAATGCTTAAAAGGTGTAATATTATATCCAGAAAATGTAATTATATTTTTTCGAAAAATTTAAAGTAAAGTTTTTAAGAAGATGGATTATGTCTAAATAAATTAAAAATTTAAGCATTTAAAAATACTCTAGTTTGAATTATTTTAAGTAAAATAGTTCTATATAATAATAGAATTATTAAGTCTTTTTTTTTATATTTCAAAATTATATACACTTTAATTTTTGCTTTATTAATATAAAAAATCATATATATCTTAAATCATGTGAATAATTATTTCTATTGTATGTTTGATAAAAATTAAAGCGTGCAAGTAGCTGATTTAAATATCAATACTTTTGCGTCTAAGCCCATATTGTTGAATGTATTTTCAATTTTCCTGATCCTTTGTCTCATTGCAAATTCTACATAAATAATAGTAGTGTAGTATACGAGGGTCTCTTTAGCTAACCATCAGAGAGTAATAAATAAAATTATATTATTAAGCCTGGAATGCATGTAATAATCAAGACTAATGTCAGGAATCAATTACATAAGAAAATTGTTGGTCATATAAAGCAATATTTTTACCGCCGGTTTCTGGATATAGTTACTTGCTTTACAAAACTATTGAGCTCAAACATCATTATGATCTAACATTATAAATGAATGTTCAATCGGATGTAATTCCTGTAATTCATTTGGATGTTTTGATTAAGAATTGTTTTTGTAACTTTTTTATTTATAAGAATTCTCCAATATTACCCCAGAAGAAGGATGGGAATTTGGAGTTAATAATGTTAAAAAATGTTTAGGTATATAACATATTATTATAAAAGGATTTAGTTACATATATTCTTCTGGAAGTGTTTTGTTTAAAGTCTTTGAGTTAGATT